ATATATATATATATATATATATATATATATATATATATATATATATCACATGTATGTATGTATGTAGAATATTTTGTTTCTTTTAAAATGAAAGAATCATTCATTTATTCCTTTGTTTTACGTAATATATATACAAATGATTTTTTTTTCTTTTCGATAGAATATAATTCTACAAATTAATAAAATAAATTTTTCTATTCTACATACCGTAAAAAATTATATAAGTTACGTAAGAAAGATTTATTTCAAGTAAATTCGAAAAAGTACGAATACTTCTCTATTGTAACTATATCAACATAAAAATGTAAAATGGTAAAATGGACAATCACAAGAGCACGTACTTCAACGACAGGCTCGTTTGTCTTTCTTAAGAACTAAGCAATTAATATTAAATAGTAAATAAAATAAGCACTTTTGTTCATCAATAATAAATAAAGTAATTATCATAATAAAAGAAATCCATTTCAATCTCGAAGATACAGTTTCTTCTTGCTTATTTAAAATTTGCTTCATCTTCATTCTCATTGAAATGGCTCAAGTGCTTTGCATTTCATCTCAATCTCGAAAATACAGTTCCTTTTCGTTTATTTGAAAATTTGTACCAAATTTTGTATTCAGTCTCATTCAAGTGCACCGCATTTTCATTACGTCGAATAGAAACGTGCCATTCGTACGAAATTTACCAAATTTACATTGCCAGAATTATCCGCGTCCAACACAATACAGATATTTAAATTACATTTCCACGGTTTTCCAGGATTTTCAACGTTAATCCTCTGATGAAGGGAGGGAGGAGGGGGAGGGGGAGAGGAGAGGAAGGAGTGAGAACATTTTTACCTAACTCGAAGTTCACTTACCAGAACTTCTTCGAAACGATCGTAATTCTCAGGCCTGGTGTTCAGGAGGCTCTCGCCAACCGAATCCGTGGCATTGCTCATCTGGCAGGGGCCACGGCCGTTCAAAGCGCTGGTCGCAATATGCAGTAAGGATAGCACTGCCAAAAGTCCGGCTGCGGATATAAAAACAGAAGAGGAAATGTAACGGCGAGTATTTCTTTCATTTGAGCCGTGTTCCCGACGTTATTACTTAATCTCAAATCCTTGTCTCTCTCTCTTTCTCTGTCAACTTCGCTGTTGAACTTCTCGTTTACTTTGA